AAAAGCAAGCCAAATATGTCCCACGTAAGTTACAAGGTTATGTTTGTACATGGTGGGAATAATTACAGTATGATTAAAGGCGACATTATAAAAAAACCTATTAGAACTGGTATAAGATGAAGAAGTTGATGAGTACTAAATTGTTTCAATCAAATCATGGACAGATGTTGTATCAACAATATAAGAGAAAGTTTGAATTGAAACAATTGTTTTGAGATAATTTTGATTCACAATATTTTTCATAATTTGATAATTATTATACAACTATGGATATAGATTTTGAGGAATGAAACAATAGATTTGCCAAATGTGGATTGGTCAAGTTTCATAAGTCAACAAAATTGTCATGATCAACCAAACATTGAAAGGAAGAGGGAAGTATTCCAAGGTTTGACAAATATGGTAACCCAAATGAAGGCACAACAAAAGTAGCTCTTGTCAAGCCTGTCGTAAGAGGTAGAGATGAAACAAATGAAGACAATGACATTATAATTTATCAGAGGAAATTGGTGAAAGATTTGATTATGGCAAGCAAGTACGAACAAAATTACGAGTAGAGTCACGAACAGAGGTGAAGCTATCGTGCATCTTTGATGCGGTGAAAGAAAATCGAGCAAGTTCACAAAATCAAGAGAAAATCACTCAAACAATCATAACAGCCATTGTTAGTTATTACAAACGACACATTATTAACCCTTCAAAAAATAGGTGACCATAAGACCACAAAGGAGGGGTTGCACAAAGAATAACAAGCCAAATCATATTGCAATATATCAAGTCTTATTGAGACTTAGGGTCTTATGATTATGGAAGGTGCTCTCACTCCGTTGAAAGATCCATCTCCTTATGCAATATTCAATATAGTGATGCGGGATTTCTTTCAAAAGATTTGCCAATCATAGTTATTAGAATCCTGATTTGAATCTTATGATCCATTTGAGCACAATTGATCCGGATCGTGTAAAAAATTCCTTATAGGTAGGATCATTCGATCTTGATAATGAGATCTTATAGAATCGTGGAATCCCGATCTGAATCTGATCCTATTCGAACCAATTATAAGCCTTGTTTTGTATTGTATGACATATTTTATTGTAAATTTTATGTTTGTTGTCTAAATATCAATTTATGTAGTCAAAATAAATAATAAAAGTTAAGTAGTATTGAATCAAATAGACTAAGAAAAACAAACATTTAAATATGGTAGTAATTTAAGAAAACTAACTAGTCGGAAAAACAAACTTAGCTTTAGCAGAATCTAAGGGGGGCAAGACGATTGCAACTTTATCTCAATTTTTGGAGAGACTATTTTTGTGACTCGAATCCGCTTCACCAGGGATGCTAACGACAAGCCTTATCATTCAGTTAAGCCGCTTTTTTGAATTCTTAATCTATTTTCATATCCAACTTTGTTAAATATTTTTTCTTCACTTTTTATGCATTATTGTAGATTGTAAAGTATTTTGTTATAGAATTCTTCTTCTTCACCTTCTTTTTTGATGAAATACAAAACTTTTACTTTCGAGTTTTCTATTGTATAGTATTTATATGAACATTTTACATGGAGTATTATTTTTTTCATAATATCTTCACTTCTTTTTAATAGAATGTAGGATCATTTTGTGTAAACTTTTTAAGAAATGTTTATTTAAATTAAATTATTACGTAATTTATCTTTTTTAGTAAGATGTTACGATCCTCAATCTAATTCTACGATCTAATCCTGTAAATACCTACGACGATTCAACTTAAGATCTCAATTTTAATAACCGTGTTCCAATTGATAAGGGCAAGAAGACTTTTGCCTTTAAAGATCCATACATGGTCAGACATTTCTCTCAATGGGTTCAGTTTGGCTTCGATGGCAATGTTAATGGTGGGTGACATGTCATTCTAACAATTTTAAAAATTAAGTTGGAGAAAATTAATTTTAAGTACAAATCATATGCGGACAACCACAAACGTAACAAGTTGTTTCAAACAATTGAAATTCGAGGACGAATTTTTTTTTTTTTTTTAAAGAAGAGGAGTTTGATGTAGAACAAGTTTTTCAAATTACTACATTTTTATTTTTGATATTTTAGAATTAGTATTTTATTTAGAATAATGTAATTTAGTATAAATATTTTGGATTTATTAGGTTTTTTAATTTGTTTTCCTAACTTCTTATGTTTTTTGTTTTTAAAAATTAGATTAGTTTATTATTTCCTAATTTTAGTTTTCTTGATGTCCAAGAAAACTTGGTCTTCAAGGTTTAGAATATTATAAAGCTATGTAAGCCTTATGACAAAAATAATTTTTCATTAATAATATTCATATATCTTCTCTCTTTTATGAATTCAAGGTTTTGTTTTCTTATGGACTTAAGAACTCATTTTCTCTACTAGAACCCGTATATTCAGCTGCGATATTGATTTTTTATGAAAATATGTGGAAAAAAAAAAGTAGAGATAAGAGTTGACTTTTTTATAGTAACTTTTTAATTAAAATAGAATGTATGGCTGGATATAGGGTTATTCGAACCGCCCAACCTGCCCAACCCGAACCAATCCGCATACAAATGGACAATTTTGCAGATACAATGTGGGCGGATGCGGTTTAAAATATGGTATGATTGTGGGTTGCTGACGGATTACGAGTTTAACCCGCACTTGCAAGAACCCGCCTGCACTTAGTCTTTTTTTTTTTTAATTTTTTAAATCTAGACCGTTATTATTTTATTATTGCAGTTTGGATGCATGTAAAGGTTAATGTAGAATTTTTTTAGGTAAGCTTAGGATTTTGAATGATTTTATTTTAATTGTATTGTTGGGTAGCAGATAGTGAATGAGATTTATGATCTAATTTAGGATTTTGAAAGATGTGTTTGTGTTAATTTATGATTTAATTTAAAAATTTAGAATTTTGAATGATTTGTTTGTGTTAGGAATTAATTTTGTTGTGTTTTTAATTTTATAAGTATTAATTCATTAGTTATTAATAATGGACCATTTTAGAAAATGGGAGGAGAAGGAACCAAAATAAATATTTACAAAATGAAAAAAAAAAAAAAAAAGGCTCCAAAACAAACTTTTTAAGAAAAAAGTCAATCCGCAAACCATCCTCAACTGCATGCATATTCGCAAATCCTATCTGTACAAATCACAATTCACATTACGGACAATTATAAGTTAAATTTTCTTCAAATTACATATATATAAACAAGTCCAAACCGATCTGTAAACCGTTCAAAATCAAACCGCCACCATCTCTAGAATATATCCCCAACAGGCCAAAGTCAACTAAAATACACAATTCACACGGACCTGTACCTTTTGCAGTCCAAACCTTTATATAGAGTATCATTGGAATCCACTTGTCCAAAAACTATCTTATCAGGAATTTACACATCTAATTTAGGTTGAGATAAACCTACTTAAAAAATTCTGACCTAACCCAACCCAAGAGTTGGATCCCTACTAAGACCCAACTGTCCAGAAATCACTCTTATTAGGAGTTGTTTTGGAAAACAATTATTTTAATTGATATACAAAAAGATGTACATAAAAATAAAAATTAAAATTAATTTTCAGATAAATTACAAATATACTTTTTGAGAGTAGTTTAAAATACATATTATCCCTTATGGTTTGAAAAATTACAAATACTCCTTTATTAGAATTTTATATTTATCAGAATTAACTAAAAAAATGAAATTCATAATTACTCTCATATACAATAATAAAATTACTTAAATTATTAATTGAAACATATTTTTAATATTATTAAAACCTGTTAATTGACTTGATAGTTTATTAATAAAATGGACAATTTTTTATGAAATTAGAAATCTCAAGGGATGAAATGTAATTTTCAAAACTACAGGGGGCGATTCGTATTTTAATCAAACTTTAAGAGGTGTATTTATAATTTATCCTTAATTTTTGGAAGCTTCTATTTACAGACCACCATCTGACTCAATACACACCACTTTTTAATTCACACTACATCCATTTTGAATTATTTGATATTTTCTCAATTCACACCAACAATTTGTTGAAAATCCCAAAATACCCTAATCTTCCCAACTCTCCAACCCTTACCAAATTCTAAACCTAATCTTAACTACTACCATCACCAGCGGCTGTCATCCCTTCTGTCGCTGCCCCCGTTCCCAACCTCTTCCTTCTTCTTCTTCTCCTTTTTTTCCGGCGACTCTCACAGCCCATCTCTTACCCATCAGTTGACACAAACATACCTTCATCTTCCCCAACCCTAACCTTAACCCTAGTCGCCATCCATTATCACTGTCGTTGTCGCCTCCATCTTCTCTTTATTAAAATCGCTATATGCTTTCTCTCTCTCTCTAGAAATTGCGATCGAGAGATCGTGATCTGCTATTTTTTCGTCATCGAGCTATGGTGGCACTGCAAAGGAATGATGATGGGTTTGCAAGGCTGCGAAGGGAGCATTAGCAAGGCTACAGGAGGTTCTTCGCCAGAGTGGAAAGTGTTGGTGACGGAGGTGAAGATGGCTTGGGATGGCACCGAAGGTATTGTGGTATGCAATGGTAAGGCAGTGATTAGAGGTGGTGCGATGTGGAAGATGGCTACAACAGCAACAGTATAGAAGGGATGGCCGGAGTTAGGAGTAGCTAGCGAAAGTACAACGCTAGTTATGACTGATGTGTAATTAAAATTCTATCCAAAATGGTAATTTAACTAATGGACATAAATGTAGTAAAAAAATTTATAAAAATGGTGTGTACTGAGTCAAATAGTGGTATATAAATAGAAACTCCCTTAATTTTTTATTTTATTTTATGTGATTCCCAAAATGACCCTAGCCTCACCATCTCGAGAGTTTTACCGCGGTACGGATTTGGCCTACACCATGACCCGACCAATTTAGACTACGAACTTGTGATTTTTTTTTTTTATTCTAAGACCAATTTAATATGGCCCGGCCCAAACCCTGCCTTGTCCACCCCTTCAAAGCCCAAAGCGAGTGTGCATACTTCGCTTTCCAATTTATTTCGTCCAAACTCTGCTTCTGCTACGTGCGACTCCGACTCCGACTCCGACCGCCGCCCAGTTCGCCGGCGAGAATTCTGCCGCCGAATCGCTGGATGTCTGCTACGGTGCGTCGCGTACGTAACACTCTCAAGGTGTGCTCCTCTTTGCCTTTCGTTCCCTCTTCCTCTACCTCACACACTTCACAAACACTAATCTCTTCTACTCTCACTCTCTCCCCCAAAACCCTAAATTCTCAACTCTCACAATGTTGTTCTACTTCATCTTCTTCTTCTTCTTCTTCTGTCGATCGAAACTTCGATTTTCTCCAACAGTTTTCACCTTTTCCACTTTCTAATTCATCAAATTCTTCAATCACTGTAATCAATTCGAATGAACGGAGAAGAATCGTAGTTGGGTTAGCTAAGCTGATCAAAAAACAGCAAGGTTATCTTTTGAAGGGATTTTCTCGTAATTTTTGCCCATATTTTCTTGTAAACATCATGAAATTGTTGGAAAACCGGCAAATTGCATTTGCATTTTTCAAATTTTCATTTGGGGATGATTCGGAGGAGACATTGCGGTCGAGTTGCCTTGTTGCCCATTTTTTGGCAGCCGGTGGGTTACGGTTTTTGGCACAAGATTTGCTCTCCTGGGTCGTTGCGAGAATTGGGTTTTATAGGAGTTGCGAAGTAGTGGAGTTTATGTGCCAAGAGCACCACAAGTATGAATCTGATTTCTCAGTTCTTGATTCACTTATGCGGGCTTTCTTGAACGCAGAAATGGGTTCAAGGGCACTGGAAATAGTGGATAGGATGAGGGAGGTTGGAGCAAGGCCGAGCTTGTCAGCTGTTAACATTCTTTTCAAATTGTTGCTAAGGACTGGTGACTACGGTAGTGTGTGGAAGTTGTTTAGGGATATGGTTCGTAAAGGACCTTGCCCCATGAATTATACATTCAATGTGATAATTCTTGGGTTTGTTAGAAAAGGATATCTCCAAATAGGAGAGAATTTATTTCATATAATGAGAAAGTTTCGATGTGAACCTGATGTTTATACCTATAACATTTTGATTAATGCATGCTGCATCAGGGGTCAAACGTCAGATGCGTTGGCTTTGTTACATTTGATGGTTGGAAGTGGTTGTAATCCTAGCATTGTTACATTTAGTACAGTTATTAATACCTTGTGCAAGGAGGGAAATGTCGTGGAAGCGAGGAAACTCTTTGATGGTATTCAAGAGATAGGTGTCTTTCCAAACACTATCATGTATAACACCTTAATTGATGGGTATGTCAAGGCTAGGGACATTGATCAGGCTAACATGCTTTATGAAGAAATGAGGAACAAGGGTGTAGCTGCTGATGTTGTAACTTTTAACATTATGGTTGCGGGACATTACAAGTATGGTAGAGAAGAAGATGTTGACAGGTTGTTGAAGGATTTAACCATGTCAGGATTGCTTCCTGATCGTTCACTGTCTGATATATCAGTTGCAGGATTGTGTTGGGCAGGACGGTTGGATGAGGCAATGGAAATTTTGGAGGATATGCTTGAGAAAGGGATAGCTATCAGTGTCACTTCTTTTAATTCTGTCATTGCAGCTTATAGCCATGCAGGCCTAGAAGACAGAGCCTTTGAAGTCTACAAAATTATGTTGAAATTTGGTCTGAGTCCATCATCTTCCACATGCAGTTCTCTCCTTATGGCTTTGTCCAAAAAGGGGAGGCTGCAAGAAGCAAGGGTGCTTATGAATGTAATGATGGAGAAGGGTAATCCTGTCAATAAAGTGGCTTTCACTGTGATTTTAGATGGATATTTCAGAACAGGTGGCGTACAGGCGGCTCAAAGTTTATGGGAGGAGATGGAAAGTAGAGGGATGTCTCCTGATGCCGTTGCCTTCTCAGCCTTGATTGATGGACTTTCTAAAGCAGGTCTTGTTGAGGAGGCATACAATGTGTTTTTGGAAATGTTGGAGAGAGGGTTTGTACCAAATAATTATGCATACAATTCATTGATTGGTGGGTTTTGTAACTGTGGAAGATTGAGTGAAGCGTTGAAGTTGGAGAAGGAGATGAAGCAAAGGGGTCTTCTCCCTGATATCTTCACCATCAATATGATCATTAATGGGTTCTGCAAACAGGGCAGAATGAAGTCAGCAATTGATACTTTTATGGATATGCACCGAATAGGGTTGACACCAGATGTTGTTACTTTCAACACTTTGATCAGTGGGTACTGCAAGGCCTTTGACATGGCTAATGCAGACGCTTTTTTGAATAAAATGTATGCCAGTGGGTGGGACCCTGATATTACAACCTATAATATACGTATCCATGGTTTTTGTAGTAGTCGGAGAATGAATCGAGCTGTGATGATGTTGGACGAGCTTGTTTTGTCAGGTGCTGTACCAAATACGGTTACATACAACACAATGATGAATGGTGTTTGTAATGACATATTGGAACGTGCCATGATCTTGACTGCGAAATTGCTTAAGATGGCTTTTGTTCCAAATATTGTTACGACTAACTTGTTACTGTCTCATCTTTGCAAGCAAGGGCTGCCAGAGAGGACCTTGATGTGGGGACAGAAGTTGAGTGAGTTTTGCTTCGACTTTGACGAAATAACTTATAAAATACTGGACAGGGCGTGTCGTAACATCCAAGAAGATGCTGGATATTTTAGAGAAACATCAGGAAAGAGCCTCTTTCTAGATTTCCTTATGTACATTACTTACGACTATTTGCGTAGATATAGGCCCCGCAGTGAAACACGTCAATATTCTTTTCAACTAATTGACAGTGGATCTAGTGGGTCCTGCAATGTCACGAAAAAGGGAAGTTTGTAGAACTTTAGCCTTAGAATATGAGAAAACCTTGCTGCATTAACATACATGCCAAAAAAGTTTTCCTGGAGAATTTTATGTATTTATTGGTGAAATTGAGGTTTCACTAATTGTGAGAATTATTTGAGGAATTGGGTTGAGATGGTATTATTGAAGACCAGGTGTGCTTGAAATTGATGGTTCTTCAGTAGCAGTGGGAAAGTCAAAACAGCGGGTTTGAGGTTAAAAATAAAGACATTGTTAGACTTTTGGGTACCATAACTTTGTTAGGCTGAGTTGAATTGGTGGTAGAGGAAAGCAATTATGGTAGCTGGAGAAGCGAAGTTAGCGTTTGTTATGGTGGGATGATTTTACACCAGCAGTTTCTGCTGAAATCTTATTTAGACATTTGTTAAAACTTGAAAGGCAGAAGGCATTCTTTTACCTGAATTTATAGTTGAGTCGAAACTAAATACACCATAAATTCTCTGGTGTTTTGTATCTTAAAAAAAAAACTTGTGTTGGGAAGAATCAGGTCTGGACCATAAAGTGGAATATAAAACCTTTCTTGGGCGTTCAGAAATACTGAGCAATGGTTGCTCAAGTTCTGTTTTTTGGCTCCACCTAACATTATGAAAAGGAGCATAGTTGGTGGAAAACCTGCCTTAGAAGCCACTGCGGGGTCAGGGAGAATCAAATATATGTAGCCTTATCACTACATGCACGGAGACTATTTATGTGGTTTGAACCCGTGATGCCCAGGTCGTAACGGAACAACCTTATTGTTGTATCAAAGCCCGCCCTCAAAAGCTACCTTAGGAGGTAACCTAAATTTATTTTCTCAATTTACAAAATGGTCATGTACTTGTGTTATGTTGTAGCAACAATTTTTTTTGCATGATCAATAATAGTTCTTTCATGGTTTGGACTTTCGAAAAATTTCACGAGTTGATAAGGTGTGTACATTCTGAGTAGCTCGCCATACAGGTAAAAGAAAATTGAATAAAATTTAATTGTCATTTATACAGCCAAAATGTTGTTGAATATTTATCAACATTTGATATTGCAAGGCCATGATAAACATGGCACGTTTTGTTTCCTGTGATATTGATTACAATTTCTTTTGTTATGCGTATGATTTCTTATGTTATTTAATGGTGTTATTTTACAGTGTTGTAGTCTCAGGTTCAGGGGACAGCTTGCTGGTTCACAATATGTCTGGACTTAAAACTAAAATTATTAAGGGATTATTAGGGTCGAGGCAGAGAATTGGCTTTTATTCACAAAGTTGGTAAAAACTTTGTAATTGCATGAAAGGCATATTGTCTAGTTTTATTTACTGGAAAATCAAAAGAAGACATCTAAATATGTTCATTTTCGTCCACCTTTCAGTCAAAACCCATTAACTTTTTCTTCTTCTTTATATATACAAACCCACCTAGGAACTGAAGTCAGTGCTTAATGACATATATGGATGGAAACCTTTAAAAAGCACAGAAACAGACGCCCGACGCGACAAGGATAAGCTGACACATCAAATTTACGAATATGTAGGACAGATGTGTGGGGGACACACAAAATATATAGTTTTATATATTTAGTACATGTCACATAGATGAATATTTTATTCAAAGACAATAAAAATGCAACATAACACTAATTCTTAAAGTTTAAAAGAGAGATAAATAGGTATAAATCTATATTCTTTTTCTTTTATCATTGTATTCTCTGAACTTTTTTGTCCAAACTTATAATGTATTTATGTGTGTCTAAGCAATGGATGTGTGTCCCCGGTTGTCCAAAGCGTGTTTGGATCTACAGAAACAAAAAATAATATGTGACATTTGGACTTGTATTCGAACCTATGAAGCACGGACACCTCCCGAGGGCTCGCATATCTGTGTCGGACACGGATCCTTCATTCTTCTTCTTTGCCTCATTTTTCTTCTTCTTGCTTCACTTCACAGTTCCTCTCTCTACCCCTCTCTCTCCCTCTCTCTTGCTGTTTCGCAATATGTCCCTCTATCTCTCTATTTTCGTCTCTCCCCCTCTGTTTTTCGGGTCTCTGTGTTCATATATATATATGATTTGTGTTTATATATATATATATATATATTTTTTATTCTCTCTCTGAGAGATTAGAAATCCTTTTTTTTTTAAATTTCTTTTTCTTTTCTCTCTAATGAGAGATTAAAAATATCTGTTTTTTTTTATTTTTATTTATTTTTATTTTTTATAACAAAAATCTTTATTTATTTATTTATATCTAAACCCCTCTTTTTTCCCCTCTTTTTATTTTTTCTATTTTTTGCAATATTCTTGTTTGTTTAACCCTAAACATATATATAACTAATTACTTTTATTTGTTAGAAAAAATCAATTTGTTGAAGGTGTTGATTAATTTTATTGTTTTATTGATTGTGTTTATTAATTATATTGTTATTGTAATTTCATAGGAATTTTTTATTCTTAAATATGGCATTTGATTTTAAAGTAGTGAAATGTATGTTTTTTTTAATTTTTTTTTAGTGCTATTTTACATTTTCAATTACCTTCCAATGAACTTTATTTTTTATTTATTTATTTATTTTTATCTTTTCAATTTTAGACATATAATAAATAAATAAAATAAAATATATCGAACATGTCCCCAGCGTGTCGTGTCCTCCGTTTTTTGAAAATTTGTATGTCTGCATATCCGTGTCGTGTCCCGTGTCCGTGTCCGTGTCCGTGCCTCATAGATTCGAACATGTTGGAAAGTGTCCGAAAAGTGTTAGTGTCAAACACAGATATGCACTTTCCTTGAAGTGTCCTTGCATAACATATACATATTGCCTCTTCAATTCAACATACAGGCACCCCCTACTTGTTGATGAGACATGGGCTCCCATTCTTCTTTTAAATACCCCATTGTCCTTTTATCTCATTCTTTGGGTACATCGGAGGGGGAATGAGGGAATCGAACTTGTTTATCTAATGTTTATACAAACAATTATTTCTCTCTCTACATATAATTTTCTCACACTATTCAATCTGTATGCGCACAAAACCCCCCCATTCCACCCATAAACTCACTCTCTCTATTTTCCTCTCTGTTTAGATCTGTGTGTGAGATTCATTTTGTAGAATAAGTATACAATGCAAACAAAAAGCTAGAGGTGGTACAATATGAATTTTTTGTGTGTGTTAGGATTTTGGGCATTTTCTATGGTATTATATATGGCATGCACTATAACTTGCATCTAAAATGTTTTTGCATTAGTGTGAGAGAGGAAGGTGAGTGTGTTTGTGCTATAGTGTGAGAGAGGTGGAAAGAGCTTTAACCTAGGGAAGAGGGGATCACCAGGGAAAGGGGTGGACGGGATGCCGATTTCGCACTGCTGAGGAGAAAGTCCTAGTTCTGCCCTGATCACATATCTTTTCTATTACATGATGTGAGTTCCCAAGTTGGTGTGAACATAGTCACACTATTTACCATTCCCAAATTGCCTTAGATTTTGATTTTAAATTTTAGATTTTGATAATTTTTCAGTTTTCTTTTTTCCTCATAATTTGTTGATTTTCATAGCACACCCATCTGGTCTGCACATTGTCTATTATACCTATGTATATATTTGGAAGCATATCCATCCATGTATGTAAAGAGAGGAGGTATTGAATTGTAAATTTTTCGTCTCCTATGTTATTACTTATTTGCCCATTGTTTCACTTTCCAATCTCATCTGCCTTATTATAAATGGAAAAATATGAGGGTATAAGTGGAATTCCAGTGTGCGCTGATTTCTGGGGGAAAAATAGATGAAGACTTTTTGGTTGTTATTTTCCTTTCTTTTTTTGTGTATGTCTGCATGTTGTTCACATTGTGTGGGGTTATTTCAGAAGAAAATTTTACATACAATCGGGGATGACAAATAGCTGGATATTCTCTCTCTCTCTCTCCCCTCTTGGTTAAAGTTACTTCAAAATTTTCTGATCATTCAACTGGAACAATGATAGAAGCCTAACCCAGCTGCATTTCAGCTCCCTATTGGATCGTTAGCTCTGAAACCAAGTCATGATTAGCTTAAAATCCTCACACATTTGCTTTCAACATCAACATTATCAAAATCGGCGCCTCAACATTGACTCTTTGTTTTCCCCATCGTTCGCTACTTAGATTGGTGGGTTTTGCAAAGTTTGCCAACTTCGTTTGCACTTCAAGGGAGTGTGTAGGAGTTTATGCATGGTTTCTCAGCTCCCAGGATTTCATATTTACTGCTAGGATGTGTCTTGGGTTTTCTTCTTGGGCCAATTTTACTTTATCCCCTTGTGGCTTGGTCCATGTGTGGATGACCTCTTTGTTAATTGGAAATGACCACATCACCCCTGTGGTTTGTGGACTAACTGCACAATTAGTTTTACCATTTAAATTAACGAGACGTGACGCCACACGCTTAGGTTGAAAGAAACCATTTTTTAAGAACTTACCCTTTTACTCATCTATTCTTTTTGTTTTGCTATTGATGAAGGGTTGTGTGTTATCTTTGTTTAGTTATAAACATTTCTAGTTATTGATGGTATGTAGTTATTTACATTATGAAATTTCAATTTAAATTGCTCAATGATTTTTAGTTCACATGATCCCAAACATCTTCACAATTAAAAAAAAAAAAAATTATGAATCTAAAAAAAAATTCTTTTTTTTGCATAATTCTCTTTTTTATTTTATTTTATTTTTTGCAATAGTGGTGACTTCAATGTAGCCCTTGATAAAGCAGAATGGTGAAAAGGATTCAAACCTCACTTGAGTGGGAAACAAGGCTTAGTTTGGTTTGGTTAGTAACTTCACTGCTCGAATGCAAATCTGTAGTACAAATCATAAACCTTCTTTGTTCAACCATTGTACTAAATTTTTTCAAAAGTATGTGTATTTAATATTACATGATTTAAGGGCCTGTTTAATTATTAGGATTAATAGTGACAAGATTAACAATCCATGAGATTAGTGTAAGATTGGTTATTCAACTAGATTAGTGAGACACATAATTCCGTCTTGTCTGAGTTTGTTTTGCAATAGATATGAAAATATATAATCATAATTGTATGTATGTTTTGCGTTATTAGTTGTATGATTAAAAAATCGGTCAATCATGTTGGATAGAAAGGCCATTGGAATCTAATCCGAATAATAAAATTTGCAACCAAACAATGGAATGTGAATCCCATGGATTACTGATCCCAATCCTATATTGTAATCCACCCAATCAAACAAGCCCTAATAATACTATCATGACTGGATTTGGTCAGACTTTCTTATTGGTCATTTTAGACTTTTTATTTTGGAATTTTGTGTAAAACTGATATGCAACTATAAGAAACTGTTTGAAACTATTACCAAAGTTCTTTTGGTTGTAGTTATATAGTCTCGGGGAGCAACTTTTCGGATACTAGTGGTTTTGGGAGCTTATGATGGCAAGAAAGTAGGATGGATTCTATACTAAAAAAAATTTAGAAGGTAGACTGATTATTGTAGGTGACTTTCTCTAGTGGTTTAGAGGCAGTTCTGTTGCTACCAACTTCTTTGCTTGTAGTCTTGTAGATCTACATGTTCTAGTGGATCTGAAGTGGGTTTGTGTTCAGCAACAGAAAGAGGTGAAGTTCTGCTTTCTTACCCAAGAATATTTACAAGGGGGAAGCCTCGAAAGGCACACGAATGCGCCTCTCGTAGACGAATATCAACTCAGTCTGCTCCCACTACACAGGATTAATAGCGAGGGGATAAACAGTCCATGAGATTAGTGTAGGATTGGTTATCCAGCTAGATTAGTGCGATACATAATTCCTTCTTGTCCACATTTGTGTTGCTATAGATATGAAATATATAATTATAATTGTATGTGTGTTTTGCGTTATTAATTGTAAGATTAAAAAATGGGTCAATTTTGTTGGATAGAAAGGCCATTGAAATCTAATCCGAATAATAAAATTTGCAACCAAACAATGGAATATGAATCCCATGGGTTAATAATCACAATCCTATGTTGTAATCCACCTAATCAAACAGGCCCTAATAGTAGTATCATGAATGGATTTTTTTGTGTAGGACTTTCTTATTGGTCATTTTAGACTTTTTATTTTGGAATTTTGTGTAAAACTGATATGCAACTATAAGAAACTGTTTGAACTATTACCAAAGTTCTTTTGTTCGCAGTTATATAGTCCCGGAGAACAACTTTTTGGATGCTCGTGGTTTTGGGAGCTTATGATGGCAAGAAAGTAAGGATGGATTCTATACTAAAAAAATTTAGAAAACTTTCTTTATTATTTTGTATATTGCATCTAGTCTTACTGTTTAGAATGGTAAGGTTTGAAATTGATATATATATGTATATGACTATTGCTTGTTTGAAAATATTATTGAAACACAATTGCTCTATCACTGACCGGAAGTGGCGATCCCCTATTGTTATTTTTTGTGACGAATCTATTTCAAACATTTAAATTAAGAATTATTTACATGAAAATGCCGCAGGTATATGCATCAGATAATGGAAGCCATCTCATCTCATATACGTTGCAACTTGCAACATCTGAACATCAGATTCATGAACCCTTATTTGAAGAAAATCGAAGAACCCCATTTATGTCGAAAGAGCCGCTAATTTGAACAGGTGTTCAACTTTGACACTATCCGAGGTACATCTCTGCTTTTCTTTTTCTTCATGTTGCTTGGTGGTTCATCCTTTTCTCTGTCTCCGTGGTGGCTGTTAGCTCCTCCTCACCTCTTGCTTATTCTTCTCTTTTTTATATTCACGTCTTTTTTCTCAGCTCTGCTGGGTTCCAGTCCAGGTTGAGCAGTTTGCTTCTTCTTCTTCACATTGCTTTCTCTCTCTCTTGGGTTCCAGCCTAGGTCAGCCTTCTTCTCAACTGTTCTGGTTTGTTGCTCTCTTGTGCTCCTTTTTGTTTTGTTTTTTTTTTGACCTTTAGTTCATTTTTTTTCTATTCTCTGTTCGGGATATCTAATCCATGGAACTGGTTTTTTCTTCCTGCTATGTTCTCTCTCCTTTCCGCTCATTCACTTCTTTTACAAGAAACTATTTGTGCAGGAGGAAGATCTAGTAACCAGCTGTTTTGCCAAAATTGATAACTGGTTTCAGGTTGAAGAAAAGGAAGATTTTGTTATTTGGAAATGGGGAAATTGAGGAATGTTGACTGTCAAGTCTTTCTAAAACAAAATGGGAGGATCTACAAACTGGAGATTAGTAGGTAAGACTCTTGCACTGTTATGCAGAAACATCTATTATTCATTGCAGAATTGACAAAACCAAAGGTTGAAGAAAGGTAGAAATGAGGCATTAGTGCTTTTCTTATTATTATTATTATTATTTTTTTTTAAATCAAGATAATTATTCTTATGATTGTCATTGTTGATGAGTCTTAGAACATTTGAAGTCATGCTATTCTACCCCTTTATTTATTTATTTTTTATTTTTTTATTTTTTTGTGTGGTTGTCTAGGGGTTGCAGTTGTTAAACTAAAATAAAACAGCACTACAAACAATACCAAATGTGTTATTGTTCAATGAGACATTAAGAATTCTTTTTTCCCTTCATAGATGGTTTTGCACCTCCTAAATAGGATTTTTCATTTTTTTGCTTTTCGGATGATTGAAAACAATTTTTAAGAGCTCAGGAAAATGGGTGCAATCCATGAACACGAGTAATTTTAATCTAGGTTTTTACTTGCAACAAATGGTTGGGAACCCTCACCATTTTTTTTTCTAATCTTCAATGAAAGATACAATATCACGTGCTTACATCCATCTTTTTTGGGGTGTTCAAATTTAAGTTTTTCTTAATCTAGGAAGCATGAGTGGGGGTACGGTGTGCTGATGCAATAAAATGTAAAAAATTATGATATGGGTATGGTCCCATACGTCTATCAGAAAATATATTTTTATAATTTGTAATGATACATGACATATAACAATTTAAAAATCAAATGCAAAAAATAATTGAAGCATTTTTGTAATGGTACAAAAAAACCCTAAATAGTTTATATATTTTTGACAAGTGCAAAACTACCCTATACTTCTAAAGTTTTTAAAAATAGGCATATAATATAATTGTTCTAGTCATATATTTAAAAAATCACAGAAGTATTTGAAACATAACCATTCCATATCCGAAACGTACCCATCCTGTAACCGTCTCTTACCTATGCCGCATTTGTCCCATATTCACATACCGGATATGCATTTTGCATGCCCAGTACATGTGCAGCTGTACCAGTATGTACAGGTACCAGTACCATACAACAGTATTTTTGGGGTACTATGCTTCATAGTTGTTAATGCTATTATGCAGTGAATTATGTAGTGCCTCAAATGACAATTTCCTTTCGTATTTTAGTAGAAATGGAGTCATCTTCTGTACGTTGTTTTCTTTCTGAAGTAAAAAGTGCTGCTTGGGAGCTGATTTTACTGTGTGGTTAGCTTTTGTTAAAAGATCTTCTTTATTGATTTACTCTACATATTTGGGAGTTCTTGACTTCTCTTTCTCTGAAGTTTGCATATGCTGACATCCATGGTTTCTGGAATTGCTGGTCTTCCACAATATGATCAAATTATGCATGGAATAGAGTTGTTTGTTTTTCTTATTTATTATTTTTATGCTGCATGTATGCTATCGACTATGAAGTATTGGCACATCCCCTTTGTGTCTTAAAGACACATGTTGGCAATACCCCAATCCATTTCGTTATTTTAAAATTATTTTATCAAGTTTTCATGTAGTAAATGTTTTCAACCAAAACAAGCGTAAATAACATTGTAATTTTCTGTTATTGTGGATGGTTGTGTTTGGATTTGTGAAGAATGACACATTTTAATTGTCTTGCAGTGGCGGAGCATGATGGAATATGGACTTCCACAGAGACAGGGGCAGCTATTCTGTTTTACAAGGAACCTCCATGATTAGCTGCAGAAGTTTCATTTTGGATTGAGTGAGGCCTTGCATTTGTTACCGAACGGATCGACTTCTCTAGAACCCAATCCCTACTTATTACAGGTCATGATTGATTTGCGGACAAGATTAGGCAAGATAAGTTATGCAAGGATTACAATCCCAAGATAAGTTATTTTGACGAGGTTGTGACGAAAGTGTTATTTTGGGATAGGTTGTCACCCTTCTCGCTGGGACAAGGGTGAAACTTGTTCTTCTTGTTTGCTCTTTTTTGTTGTAATAATAATTAAAAATGATTATGTACACGACATTCTCATTTAATTGTTGCTAGAAAGTGATGAAAAAGAAAATAAATTAATTTTTTCTTGTGTTTGTTTAACAAGAAAGTGATTGAAAGAAAACAAAACTAAAATTTTCATGTATTTGTTTAATAAGAAATAGGTGGGAAGTGCAAGTAAATATTCGCATACAATACATATATGCATGTAAGCTTGACTTCATGTTTACTACCCAAAAAAAAAATTAAATTAAATTAATTTTTTCCAAGATTATATATAGTTTGAACTATAAACTTTTATGTTTTTCTTACAGTTTATTATTTTTCAGTTGTTACTTCAATTTATTTAATCGTATTATATAAATTCTAGTCCTGTTAATTTTTTACTTTTTTTTCTCCTCTAAAAGCAAAGCATAGTTGATTAACTCGAATCATATAAATTTATGCCAAAACGGTTACACAAGTGAGTTTTGTTTAAAATGGGTAAAGTTAATTTAGGCAAACTAAAAAATTTCTCATGACTGATACCAAAATTACATTATTTTCTTTTCTAATCAAACAGACCCTTGAGAAATGATGGCCAGTTGACTATATTTGTATTAGTCATCTATTGGAGCAGAAAAAGCAACTTCAAAGTTAGGGAACATCTCTGGCAATAAAACAAATCAAGTTATTCGAGCTTGATTTGGGCTTAATTTGTTAAAAAATTGTTTCTAATTGACTTGTTACATAAATAAATAAAACTTTAACATATTTTAAAATTCGTCAAATTTTTTTTAAGTAAAAGTTAAATAACCTACTACTCAGCTTAACTAAATTATATCCACTATAAAAATTAAACCACTCGAACTTAGCCCAATTGAAACTAATTTGAGATTAACTTGAAATGTAAACAAGTTAAGTTTAAATACATTTTGAAACTTAATAAGTTCTCAAGTTAAACTTGAATCTATTGCTCAACTCGGTTCAGGTATGAGAGCCAAAGCGTGCGACGGGTGCGGTGTACAGGCCACTGCAGCGGATTAGGAAAGGAAGAAGTAAAGGATAATTTCTTGAAACCCAGATCACCCAGAGCGTGCCATGAATAACATGAAACCCAGATCACCCAGAGCGTGCCATGAATAACATGAAGACACAAAACAAGAAAAAGAAACAAGTAAATATTCGCATACAATACATATATGCATGTAAGCTTGACTTCATGTTTACTACCCAAAAAAAAAATTAAATTAAATTAATTTTTTCCAAGATTATATATAGTTTGAACTATAAACTTTTATGTTTTTCTTACAGTTTATTATTTTTCAGTTGTTACTTCAATTTATTTAATCGTATTATATAAATTCTAGTCCTGTTAATTTTTTACTCTTTTTTCTCCTCTAAAAGCAAAGCATATAAATTTATGCCAAAACGGTTAAACAAGTGAGTTTTGTTTAAAATGGGTAAAGTTAATTTAGGCAAACTAAAAAATTTCTCATGACTGATACCAAAATTACATTATTTTCTTTTCTAATCAACCAGACCCTTGAGAAATGATGGCCAGTCGACTATAAAACAAATCAAGTTATTCGAGCTTGATTTGGGCTTAATTTGTTAAAAAATTGTTTCTAATTGACTTGTTACATAAATAAATAAAATTTTAACATATTTTAAAACTCGTCAAATTTTTTTGAAGTAAAAGTTAAATAACCTACTACCCAGCTTAACCAAATTATATCCACTATAAAAATTAAACCACTCGATCTTAGCTCCAGTGAAACTAATTTGAGATCAACTTGAAATGTAAACAAGTTAAGTTTAAATACATTTTGAAACTTAATAAGTTCTCAAGTTAAACTTGAATCTATTGCTCAACTCGGTTCAGCTCAATTACAGCGCTACTTGGAAATGATGTTGAGCCATAGCCTGCGACGGTGCGGTGTACAGGCCACTGCAGCGGATTAGGAGAGGAAGAAGTAAAGGATAATTTCTTGAAACCCAGATCACCCAGAGCGTGCCATGAATAACATGAAGACACAAAACAAGAAAAAGAAACAGAAAAAACTATATTATATCTAATCACATAATATTTACATGAGTATTAAGGCTGAAGTTCTGACCATTTATTTCTCAAAGGAGAGAGAGAGAGAGAGAGAGAGAGAGAGAACCCTTAACCGGCTTAATACTTCACATCAACCTTTTCTGCTCATATTCTAACATCAATAACTCCAGAAACAAAACCATTGCCTAATCAGCAAACCAAAATCCAATTTCACAGCAAACAAAAAAAAGAACATTTTCTAAGGCACTTTAGCCCTCTGCATGAACATAAACTTGCGTCTGCTGACTCCTCCAACATGCTCGTTCAATTTAGCCAAGTGTGCCATCCGCCTTATCGCAGATTCAGACGGTCCCATCCGATTTGTCTTCTCATCCAACTCAACCGAATCATCTTCATTGCACTCAAAACTTTTATCAGACGGGTTTTCATCTGAAACTTGGATTATCTGCTTCAAACTCTCCACCACCCAACTCATCAATGGTCGCTCTTTTGCATTCTTCAACAGACATTGGTCTGCTAACTTGGCGATTTTCCGGGCTGCATTGAGAGAATACTGTCTTTCGAGTCTGGGGTCCATTATCATACTAAATTTTTTACTATCAGCAGGGAACTGTTTCACCCAATCCAGAAGTCTCTGCTCCATTTTGGGTAGGTTTCTTTCAAAGGACCGCCTGCCCGTGAGGATCTCATACAATACCACACCAAAACTCCACACATCGCTTTTAGTGGTCAGATGTCCTGTTTGTACGTAGTCCGGTGCAGCATACCCATATGTCCCGACAACCTAATCAAAAAATGCGAGTTCTCATGTTCATTTATCACAAACATACATATACATTCGAACATATCCGTACTCTTGTTGGGAGCTTCTATTTGCACACACCCACATTATCTCAATTCACACTTGTTTGGAAATTGATATCTTTGGTTCACAAGTTGATTTCCGAATCATGTAGTTTTGTTCAGAAATCAATTTCTGAACGAAAAGTGGGATGTGAACTAAGAGAAAGTCATGTGTGGAAATAGCAGCTCCAACTCTCAAAAGAATAAAAAAAATAAATTGGCTTACCTTTGAATGAGGTAGAGGCCATATATTTATAATATATTCATGGTACAATTTTAAGAAACAATGTATATAAGAAAGGATTCCTACAATCAAAATAAAAATATTCTAATTTCTATATTCAACATAATATTCTAGTTCTATATTCAACACTCTCCCTCAAGATGGCGTGAAGACATTCAACAAATGAAGCTTGTCAATAGAAAACTAGAGCAACATTAGTCCCACATATTTTGTGAACATATCTGCTAACTACTGAGAAAAATAGACAAAGGATGGACTCACAATATCAGTCCAAACCTTTTCTCTAATGAAATGTATGCCAACCTCGATATGCTTGGTACACTCATGAAGCACAGAATTAGAGGATAACATAATGGTAGATTTGTTATCACAAAATAAAAGAGCAATCTCCTCAAAACCCAACTCTACCAGAATAGAGCGAAGCCAAAGAATCTCACATGTCCCATGTGCCGTGGCCTGATACTCAACTTCTACAGAAGACCGAGAAACAACTGTCTGCTTCTTATTTTTCCATAAAATAAGATGATCACTATAGAAAGTACAGAAGCCAGAAGTGGAACGCTGATCAGTCCTTGATCTTGCATAGTCAGCATCAGTGAAACATGAGTCTCAATTGGAGACCAACTGTGAAGAATAATCTCAAGCCAGGAAAAGTCTTCAAATACCTCAAAATATGATGAACCGCGTCAAGATGCTCTGTATGAGGTACATGCATGAACTGACTCACAACACTAATTGCAAATGTCAAGTCAAGTCTATTGTTGGTCAAATAAATAAAGCGTCCAATAAGGCGCTGATACATGCTTGGATTATCCAACAACTCACTAGACTCGAATGTGAGCTTGACATTAGGATCCATAGGAGTAGAAGCAGGTTTATACCCTAACATACCAGTATCCTTAAGTAAGCCAAGGGTATACATTTGAGACAAGGAGATCCCCTCCCTTGAGCGAGCCACCTCAATTCCCCAAAAATATTTGAGATATCCCAGATCCTTAACCACAAAAGTTTGGTCCAAGTTTTTCTTTACTTGACAAATGCCGACATAGTCATTACCTGTGACAATAATATCATCCATATAAATTAACAAGACTATACACTAAATCGCAGAATTCCGATGAACGAAACAAGTGTGATTTGAGTAGCACTGAACAAAGCCCATAGATATAATAACAGAATTGAAGCGACCAAACCATACTCGTAGAGATTGTTTCAAACCATACAAGAATTTGTGTAACCCGCACACTTTTTCCCCGAATACTCCCCTTCAGCCCGAAACCAGGTGGGGGAGCCATGTAAATTGTCTCAAGAAGATCCTCATGAAGAAATGCATTCTTGACACTTAGCTGATGAAGAGGCTAAGAATGATTAGGAAATAGTATGATTAGTATTGCTCAAATAACTCCAACGATTTAGAGGATGTCAATCCTGAGGTGGGCTACGACTAGGAGGTGGATGAGAGAGAGCTAAAGAAGAAGAGTTACCTAACCTGGAGATCGGAGAAGTAGCAGAAGGGGGCTGAATGCGTGGGTGACGAGAGTATACCTGCAATGAAGGAGGAGGCAAAGGTTGAGAAGGAGGGAGGGGAACAACCTCATCCTCTACCTCGTTCAAAATGGGCATCGGCCGAACAATGGAAGTAATGGGAGGAGAAGCCTACAAATGATGGTTAGTGACAAAGAAAGGAAGATCCTCACAAAAAGTAACATCTAAAATGTGGTGAAAGTGATGAGACACAGGGTCATAACACCTATATCCTTTGGACATAAACGAGTATCCTAAGAAGACCCAACGAATAGATTTGTCATCTAATGTAGTGCTAGTAGGACTTCGATTTTGAACAAAACAGGTACACCCAAAGACACGAGGTAATAGAGGAAACAAATTGGTAGTGGGCATAAGGATATGAAATAGAGTAAGACCATGCAACACACGACTAAGGGTCCTATTAATGAGGTAAACAACAGTAAGGACAACCATATGTCAATTAGACTTGGGAACACCCATACCCTGAAGAAGACATGGGACGACAAACATAATATGACAGTTTTTGCATTCAGCAACACCATTTCGGTCAGGAGTTCGAGGACAAGTAAGTTGTTGAAGAATACCAGTTTGATTAAGATAGGAACAAAATTCATTAGAAATATATTCCCCACCATTATCAGAACGGATATTCCAAACAACTGCATGAAATTGAGTTTTAACCATTTGTACAAACTGTACAAAAATGGGAAACACGTCAGACTTAGGACGAAGGAGATAAACCCAAATGCACCTAGTGTGATCATCAATAAAAGTCACATGATACCTATGATCAGAGAAAGCAATGACAGGGAAAGGACCCCAAATATCTGTATGTATAAGATCAAAAGCACTAAGAGCCCGAGTCATATAAGGGATATAGCTTGTACGGGTATGCTTAGGCAACTCATAAACCACACAATGAAATTTAGAGTCTTTGCAAGCTTTATTAACTGAAGGAAAAAGTTGACATAAATATTGCAAATTAACATGACCTATACAAGAATGCCATAATTCTAAAGTCTAAATATTAAAAACACAAGACATGGAAGTAGGCAAAACAGAGGCCTGAAAACTAGCTAAAGAAGAAGAGGAAGGCTCGTCTGGTGGATCCCCAAAATAGTAAAGCCCATCACGCTCATAGTCGTTTCTAAAAATCTTCTTTAAACTCAGGTTTTGTAAAAGGCAAGAAGAGGGTAAGAAGATGACAACACAATTATATTGGTTGGCAAGACGACTAACAAATAAGAGATTATATACAAATTTAGAACATGTAAAACAAACGATAAAGTAATGGTAGGGGATAAAGACACAACACCCTTATGACGAACAGAGAATGAAGAACTATCAACAAGACACAAAAATTGGGCAATAGTAGTAAAGAACTGAGGAAGAAAGAAAAGATAACTCACCCGTCATATGATCATTAGCCCCAGAATCCAAAACCCATGAGGGACTAACAGACCGAACATAGAAAGCAATAAAAGTACCTGTAGCAAGGGTGGCAACAGTGGAAGATGATGGGCCATGAGAGCTAGCAGTGAGAGATCCAAGCTGAACTTGAAGCTGACCAATCTGAGTTTGCAACTCATGTAAATTAGGGATATAAGGAGACCCAGGAGCACGAGTAACCTCCACTAAAACAGCAGTGCGAGGGGTACTAGTACCACGAGGGCGAAAAGAACGTGGCCTCAACTCAAGATGCAGTTTGAAACAACGAGACTTAACATGACCAGAAACACCACAATGATGGCAAGCAACTGGACCAGTTAAAACCTGAGGACCAGTCTTGGCAGCAAGAGCCATCTAATCAGATGAAACCGAAGATAAGGAAGAAGGACTTGGCTGAACCAGACGCCTACGGTGTTCATTACTATCAATGGTGGCAAAAGTCTCATAAGGCCTTTTAAAATTTGAGTTCTAAGGGATCAAACTCGGAGTTTAAACCCATCAAAAACTGGTAGGTGTGCTGGCGCGCAAGGCGTTTGGACACAAGAGAGGCAGCATATGTTGGAAACTCATCAAGGGTTCATATTGAGCCAATTCTTCCTATCAGGCCTGAAGATATCCAAAGAACTCTAACACAAAAAGACTCAAAGTAGACTAGGAGACACGAAAAATGTCCTGATAGAGCTCAAAGATGAGAGCAGCATTATGAGCATGGGCATACATCTGAGACAAGGCACGCCACGGACTTGGAATTGTGTCACAATAGACAAACATATGTTAAATACAATCCTCCATGGAGTTGAACATCCATCCTAGAATAGTGCAATTATCTATATCACACTGGGCACGTGTAGGATTTGTCACTACAAGCTGGATAGTAGAAGATGAGAGCCAATGGGCCTTTCCCTTTCCCCCTAAATAGAGTTTAAAGGAGCGGCCCCACGCAACAAAATTTTTCCCATTCAACACCACACTTGTAATGTGATGAACTGGAGTGTGATGAGAGAGAAAAATCAAAACTCATTGAGACAAATTTTGTGGGTACATCAGAAGCAACATCAAAGGATGGCTCAATCATGATGAGATAATAGGGGCTAAAAAACATACACAGGCACAGCAAACATAGTCCACAAAAAAAAAACCTCATCGGCTTATCCAAATAAATGCTACCAAATAAACCTGTCAGCCTAAAAGAGCAAAAGAGCAGGAAAAAAAGGTGCTTGATACATCAGCACCACACCCCAAGCGGGAAAAAGCAGCCACGGACCACCCTAAAAAGCTAGCCGAAGCATGTAGGACCAGAAAAAGAACTAGTCGTCAGAGCCTCAGCAGGGAAAAAAAAGGCCTGCCGAGGTGAAAGCAAGGAAGAAGAAGGGCTATGGGAGGCTGGGTAAGGCTGTCGGGTGGTGGGCTGAAGCTGTGGGAGGCTGGGAAGGGCTGTAGGGTGGTGGGCTGAGGCTGTCAGGTGGAGAAAAGGAGCTGGGAAGGGCTGTCAGGTGGTGGATTGAGACTAGGAAGAACTGTCAATGGCTAGAGAGAAGAAAAGAGGCAGTCGGTGGTGATGGTTGATTGAGAGAGAGACGGCTAGGGAGGCTCTGATACCAAAAAGAATAAAAAGAATGAATTGGCTTACCTTTGAATGAGGTAGCGGCCATGTATATATAATATATTCATAGTACAATTATAGAAAACAATATAAACAAGAAAAGATTCCTACAATCAAAATAAAAATATTATAATTCCTATATTCAACAAAATATTTTAGTTCCTATATTCAACACTCTCATCACATTTCACTTTTGTAATACTTGAATAATTTAGGACTTCTATGTTGACAAACTTGGGCATGGTTAGAGTTGAAAATTTTGGCAATTCATGGAAGGCAAACATACACAGTGACCAATGCATTGAAAGTTGACATAAATATTGCAAATTAACATGACCTATACAAGAATGCCATAATTCTAAAGTCTAAATATTAAAAACACAAGACATGGAAGCAGGCAAAACAAAGGCCTGAAAACTAGCTAAAGAAGAAGAGGAAGGCTCGTCTGGTGGATCCCCAAAATAGTAAAGCCCATCACGCTCATAGTTGTTTCTAAAAATCTTCTTTAAACTTAAGTTCTGTAAAAGGCAAGAAGAGGGTAAGAAGATGACAACACAATTATATTGGTTGGCAAGACGACTACCAAATAAGAGATTATATACAAATTTAGAACATGTAAAACAAACGATAAAGTAATGGTAGGGGATAAAGACACGACACCCTTATGACGAACAGAGAATGAAGAACCATCAACAAGACACAAAAATTGGGCAATAGTAGTAAGAACTGAGGAAGAAAGAAAAGAAAACTCACCCATCATATGATCATTAGCCTCAGAATCCAAAACCCATGAGGGACTAACAGACCAAACATAGAAAGCAATAGAAGTACCTGTAGCAAGGGTGGCAACAATGGAAGATGATGGGCCATGAGAGCTAGCAGTGAGAGATCCAAGCTGAACTTGAAGCTGACCAATCTGAGTCTGCAACTCGTGTAAATTAGGGATACAAGGAGACCCAGGAGCACGAGTAACCTCCACTAAAACAGCAATGCGAGGGGTACTAGTACCACGAGGGCGAAAAGAACGTGGCCTCAACTCAAGATGCAGTTTGAAACGAGACTTAACATGACCAGAAAAACCACAATGATGGCAAGCAACTGGACCAGTAAAAACCTGAGGACCAGTCTTGGCAGCAAGAGCCATCTAATCAGATGAAACCGAAGACAAGGAAGGAGGACTTGGCTGAACCAGACGCCTACGGTGTTCATTACTATCAATGGTGGCAAAAGCTTCATAAAGAGAAGGCCTTTTAAAATTTAAGTTCTAAGAGATTCAAACTCGGAGTTTAAACCCATCAAAAATTGGTGGGTGTGCTGGCGCGCAAGGCGTTTGGACACAAGAGAGGCAGCATATGTTGGTAACTCATCAAGGGTTCATATTGAGCCAATTCTTTCTATCAGGCCTGAAGATATCCAAAGAATTCTAACACAAAAAGACCCAAAGTAGACTGGGAGACACGAAAAATGTCCTGATAGAGCTCAAAGATGAGAGCAGCATTATGAGCATGGGCATACATCTGAGACAAGGCACGCCACGGACTCAGAATTGTGTCACAATAGACAAACATATGTTAAATACAATCCTCCATGGAGTTGAACATCCATCCTAGAATAATGCAATTATCTATATCACACTGGGCACGTGTAGGATCTGTCACTACAAGCTGGATAGTAGAAGATGAGAGCCAATGGGCCTTTCCCTTTCCCTTTCCCCCTAAATAGAGTTTAAAGGAGCGGCCCACACAACAAAAATTTTCCCATTCAACACCACACTTGTAATGTGATGAACAGGAGTGTGATGAGAGAGAAAAATCAAAACTCATTGAGACAAATTTTGTGGGTACATCAGAAGCAACATCAAAGCATGGCTCAGTCATGATGAGATAATAGGGGCTAAAAAACACACACAGACACAGCAAACATAGTCCACAAAAAAAAAAAACCTCATCAGCTTATCCAAATAAATGCTACCAAATAAACCTATCAGCCTAAAAGAGAAAAGAGCAGGAAAAAAAAGTGCTTGATACATCAGCACCACACCCCAAGCAGGAAAAAGCAGCCACGGACCACCCTAAAGAGCTAGCCGAAGCATGTAGGACCAGAAAAAGAACTAGTCGTCAGTAACCAGAACCTCAGCAGGGATAAAAAAAAGGCCTGCCGAGGTGAAAGCAAGGAAGAAGAAGGGCTATGAGAGGCTGGGTAAGGCTGTCGGGTGGTGGGCTGAAGCTGTGGGAGGCTGGGAAGGGCTGTAGGGTGGTGGGCTGAGGCTGTCAGGTGGAGAAATGGAGCTGGGAAGGGCTGTCAGGTGGTGGATTGAGACTAGGAAGAATTGTCAATGGCTAGAGAGAAGAAAAGAGGCAGTCGGTGGTGATGGTTGATTGAGAGAGAGACGGCTAGGGAGGCTCTGATACCAAGAATAAAAAGAATGAATTGGCTTACCTTTGAATGAGGTAGCAGCCATGTATATATAATATATTCATGGTACAATTATAGAAAACAATATAAACAAGAAAAGAATCCTACAATCAAAATAAAAATATTATAATTCCTATATTCAACGTAATATTTTAGTTCCTATATTCAACACTCTCATCACATTTCACTTTTGTAATACTTGAATAATTTAGGACTTCTATGTTGACAAACTTGGGCATGGTTAGAGTTGAAAATTTTGGCAATTCATGGAAGGCAAACATACACAGTGACCAATGCATTGCTGGTAGTGTATGCATATATAATTTTATATAGCTTATGACATCAAGATAAGTGCCACTATGGTAAACTATAGTTGAAATATTAATTTGTACGTTAGTTTAAGTAAACAAGTATTGAGAAGAGTAAAATATAGGAGAAATTGAAAATCTACCTCCAATAGGCTTTGGTGCAAAGTCTCTACCATTGCACTTGACTATTTGTATATATATATAGAAGCTCAATTTCATCAATTATCATTCTACAATTCAGAAGTTACAAAAATTATGCATGCATTATGTATGGAATGACACCATACACAACACTATAACAGAAAAGACACAGGTATGCAACAATTCTATAACATTTCTAGAAAGTCTAGAATGAGAAGATATGCATTATTATTATTATTATTATTATTATTATTATTATTATTATTATTATTCTACCATGCTTTTCTCCTATTCAAACTCGGTTATGAATTTTTCAAATATTACCAGCTAGTTCCGGAATTTTAATTTTACAGGAGAATGTCCCTAGTTACCACCGCAAAACAATCAATGTATATAGGGTGTGTTCTAACATAGTATGTAGTTTGTCAACATAATTCATTCTCATACAACAACCTATGCTACGAACAAAATAAGTATGCATACCGCTGTTGAAACATGAGTATGCCCAGCTGTTGGCCCCTCCCGGGCAAGCCCAAAGTCTGAAAGCTTTGGATTGAAAGCCTCATCCAATAGCACGTTTGATGATTTGAAATCTCGATATATGACCTTCATCATTAGCATAGGCAACAATAGATTAACAACAATAAATTGGGACATGTTCAGTTTTTAAGTATGAATACGTTAAAATTTTAAAACAACCAGTATCATGATGCATAGCAACAAAATTAAAGAAAAATAAACAAGAAAAAGCCATTATCATGATTTTACTGGGGAAAACACCAAGAACAATTGCATTGTAATTTTAATCATTATCACAATTATTAACAGAAATTATGGCTGTTAAGGCATTATTTTGTTATGTTCATGTAGCCATAGTTACAGTTTAACATTATCAGAAACAATTGAAAGATTCATTTCAAATGAAAATCAAACTTACAAATAAGCTAGACTGCATCAACAAAATCGTAGGTAAAAATGGCAAAGGTCTCCTCTGGACCTCTGCCATCATGTGCATAGAAGTATTTCAGACTGTTATGCAGGATTTGCTTTCAATCATATTCTAACCTTTAACAAAGATATCATTATTTTAGAATGTTGAAGTAGCTACTGAGGTTTCATTCATATCTAGCATGAGTGTTTCAGAGTTCTGAGATAAATCGAAATCTTTTTTTTTTTTTTTTTTGAGCATCAACAAAAATTTTATTAAAAAGAAAAGTGAAAGAGGACAAGAAGTCCTCATACAAAGAAAGAGAAAGAGCAAAGCAAAAGCACAAAACTCCTAGCCTTAGGGATGGCAAATTGCAGCCCAATCCCTAGAGATCAAGAACAAAGGGACTCCTTTAAAAGGAGGGAATACAAATGTCCAAAATGAAGCCAAATATTCCGCCCTATCCCACAAAGCCTCTACACTTGCTTTCTTGCCATCAAAGATTCTTGCATTTCTCACCAACCATATACCCCAAAAAATAGCATAAACAATGTTTGTTCACAATGTTTTGGCTCTCATGGTGCTCCCAAACCCTTTGAACCTAATAAGAAGCATTTGAATGCAGTCCCACGGAGCAACCCTAGCTCATCACATAAGCTGAAAAAACACTGCCATAATACACAAGCCACTGGTCAATGAAGGACTAGATGATCCGCTACCTCCGAGTTCCTCTTGCACATCACACATCATTGAAGGCAAACTGAGTGATTAGGCCTTCTCCTTTGGAAAACATCATTAGTTGTGACACCTTTTTGAGTCAAAGACCACATGAAGAACTTCACTTTATAAGGGACAACGGCTTTTCAAATTTTCTTATGAGAAGGAACCAAGGGAATAGAGGGATTATCAATGAGCTTATCAAAAAAGGATTTACATGAAAAGACCCCTGAAAAAACAAGATTCCACACCCTAATGTCACGAGAGGAAGAAAGAGAAACCCCTTAAGCAATACCAACAAAGATGTCAACTCCATCGCCTCCCTATCATTCAAGTTTCTAATGAGATCAAAATTCCAAGAGATGGATGCCATAGAAGAGCAAACCAGCGACGCTATTGAAACACTTCGAGAACGAACCAACCTGTAAAGAAGAGGAAAAGCTCTATCAAACGAGATATCCCCTAACCAAACATTCTCCCAAAAAGATCGTCACCCCATTCCCCACTCTTAATGAAAAGAAGTTAGACACAAGTGGATACAAACGGGAAATGGACTTTCACGGTGAACGACAATTGCCTCTATCAATCACATTAGAATCTCTACCATTGGGTTGAACTCCATACTTGCTTTTAACAACTAAACACCATAGTAATTCACTTTCAATAGAAAATCTCCATAACCACTTGCCCAACAGAGCAATATTCCTAGCAACGATGTTCTCAATAGCCAAGCCTCCTTTTTCCTTAGGGAGAGAAAGAGTCTCCCACCTAACAAAATGAACCCTTTTACCCTCTTCACACCCTTAAACCAAACCAAGCTTTAAGTCCCATCATACAAGGTCGGCTATATGAATCTTTCTTCCCCACTCGACTCTATCCAAGGCCATTTCGTTAATCAAATTAAGGAGATTCATATCTCTATTTACTATAATAGTTCACATTAATCTAGGTTTACCCCTTCCCCTAACCCTACCATCTATCGTCACTATATCGCATATTTTCACTACTGTCTTTGTTAGTCTCCGTTGTATATGACCAAATCATCTCAATCTATTCTCTCTCAACTTATCTTCTATCGGTACTACTACTACCCATTCTCGAATATGCTCATTCCTAACTCTGTCTTTTCTAGTTTTACCACACATCTACCTTTAGCATCTTCATCTCAGTAACACTCATCTACGTGTTATTTCTTAGTTGCCCAATATTTTGTCCCATACAATATCGCTAGTCTAATAACCGTTCTATAAAACTTCACTTTTAGTCTAATGGGTACTCGTTTATTGAACAGTACTCCAGACGCACTCCTCCACTTGAGCCACCCCGCCTTAATTCTGTGAACCACATCTGCTCCAAAGAAAATCTCTCATCAATTTCTCAATTTTTCTCGCAATGTTAACCAGAATTTCGAATAGGGGCAGGAAATAAATAGGAATAGAGCCTAATACGGATTGTACCAAAATATATCCCCCCCCTCCCAGACAACAAAGCTCGCTTGCATCCCTCCAATCTTTTCCCAATTTTGACAAGAACGAGTTCCCAAAAGGACTCCAATCTAGGATCTCCTCCCAATGGAAGCCCTAAGTATTTGAGAGAAAAGAAATCAATGGAACATCCCAACATATTCGTCACCCTATGCACATAGCTGTCTTCCAAATTAATACCTATAACACTAGGATCTCCTCCCAACAAAAACCCCAAGTGTTTGAGAGGAAAGGAATCAATGGAACATCCCAACATATCTGCTACCATTTGCACAGCTATCTTCCAAATTAATACCCACAACACTACTCTTGCTAAGTTCTTCGAAATCTTTTCTCTCACAAAGTTCTTCAGATATGGCTAAAATTCTCACAAATCCTCCAAGGAAAGAATTTTCCAACTTATTTACAAAATAATGTTCAATTTAATGAATAAAACCTCCAGCAAGATAAAAAGAAAGAAAAACAAAGCTAAGAATTTAAGGAAGTTTTGGTCAACCAAAGGAGCCACCTCTTTAGGTTTCAAATTGAATTATAAGAATTGAGATTGATTAATGATTCTAACTGATTTTCAACAATTATTAAAAACATTTTAAAATTCAATCTGTGGGAAAGTCAACCAGTTAAATGTTTAGGATCATCCAAATGAGCTAGTAGTACCAAAAATATAACAGTAATACATCATTTTTTGCCAGTATCAACAAAAAGTCTCCCTTGGTATCTATGCTATGCCATGAGGATCCCCCAAACTTCCTTTTGACTAAGACCCCTGGGGAGAAAAAGAGAAGAGGGCATTGGAAAAACCACAACATGCTGGTCGTCTATGTCATTTTACATAACACTGAATAAGTAAATGGCACCACATGTAATCATTTAAAATTTTCACAAAAAGACATTATCACAGTTTTACTATTGTTTCCTTCTGATGATTCCATCTTTTTGTAGTTACACCATCCCACATAGAGGATTTTGTGCCATTCACTTCTCAAAAGATGATAAGTTTATTCTCAAGCAAGGTTGTTAAAATTCGGATCATATGTAGGGTTGTTGGGAGGGACTTCTGGATCAGATCGAGGAGCATAAGATTCTACTTTCAATGCAAAATAAAATGAAAATTTATCAATCATGATAATGTATGTTAATAATTTAAAAATCATTATAGAAAAATGATAACTTTTACATAATATATCTTATGCTGACATAAATTAGAGAAGATGCTTGGAGAGTGAGTTTATAGTCAAATTTATTATATAGATATACACATATGCATGCATATATAAGAAACAATCCGATAGCATCAAGATTGTAGTAGAATTGGGATCGTAGTATGATTTCTCTACAATTTTATAACTAGGATCATAGTCCCATTAAGATTCTACAAAATTTAAGATCCCTATCGTTTGGCCCAACTAGAGTCGTAGGATCATAAGATACTACAATCCGGATCCAGATTTTGATAAGCATGTTCTCAGGTGGTGGCTAATCATTCTGTTGTTTAAGTATATTCTCGTAACCAATAATCATTAGTTAGTCCAAACGATAGTACGATGCAAAGTTGAACATAAAGTTGACAAAGTTTTTGAATTAAACCTGGACTTCCAATTCTTCATGCAAATAAGTCAATCCTTGAGCAGCTCCAAGTACTATCTGTAACCTCGTTTTCCAAGGTAGAGCCGAAAAAGCCCTATTGAAAAGATGATCTTCCAAGCTTTTGTTGGGCATAAACTCATATACAAGTAGCCGTTGGATCCCTCGTTCTCCATCTACAGCACAGTATCCAATAAGTTTGACAAGATTTGGGTGCTCCACAATACCGAGAAATTGTACTTCTGCCACCCATTGTTTATGCCCCTGCATGAAAAACAAAGAATCATAAGAGACTATGATAAATGTTCAGGAGAAACAGGCCTAAGCAAACAAAAAGCCAATTCAACGTATAAATGTCATAAATTCAAGCATAAGTGGGCCACATTTGAGGTATAGGTGGCATATGAATCAATAAATTTCCAAAAAAACTCATAATTTCTGCTAACGTATTTTGAACCAATCCATCACAATCCAGACTACATTTGTAAAGAATAATTCAAAGGTAATAGGAGACCCACATGCACAAGTTTGTTCATAAGTTTGGACTGATTGTGTATTACACTATATCTGCATACACAACACAGCTAATTCAATTCCTTTGGACCATCCAAATACACAAGTTTGTTTGTAAATGAAAGGCAAAGGGGTTAAATTCAAGAAAATGAAAGGGTAACCCATTTCCTACCAACAAAGTGAAGGCATAGTTTCTAATGCATAGCTCCAATGAAATTAGAAAAACCCCTCAATGTTAGTTTATGAATGAAGTGCAAGAAGATTCTGGTTCTAACATGGAATTGCCCTTCAAACAGAATGATCCACAAACGATACAATCCCATAGTAACACCCATCCAAAACATAAGCATACATTGAATTCAACTACTCCAGAGTCCAGACCTAAATTTATGATCTACTTAATTTTCCAATAAAAAAATCCTTCTTTTTCATCTTGATATTTGAAAAAAATTGAGAAGCAAATACAATTGGCATGCACAGTTCACGGGCTGATTCAGTGTTACCTCACATGCTGATTGCAGTGGTAGGCAGAGTGTGAACAGGATTGTGTATAGCATAGCACCTATGCTCGAATGCGACACAACAAGAGTGGGTTATCTGCATTGCTAAGTTAATAGTTAGAAAGTTATACGCTGAAGTGCCCTAATTGTTCTGGAAAGCTGAACTGTAGACGTCAGATTTTACTATTTCAACAGTGAATTAATTTGCTCTTGCCATTTCAATCACCAATAACTTAGATTAGATACCAGACTTCAACTAACAATTATTAAAAACATTGAGCACCCCCTCCCCCATCCTGAAACTTCGTATGTTTAAAGAGCTAGACACAAAAATAGACTCCGGCTCCAGTCTTGTTCTACCAGCCTCAGAGCCTGTACCTTGAAACCCTATCAAAAAAGGAGAACTACTTCACTGTTGTTGGCCGGGCACTTACCCAATTGGACCAAACTAGTCACCTTAGTTAATGTACATTCCCTAAATCAGACTCTCTTTCCTTCCCCCAACTCACTTGCTCAAATGTGGTTAAATTCTCTGAGATCTCATCCTTTAAGCATTCACCAAGTATGAAAGTAGTGGTCCATTTGTAAAATGTGTCCTTAAATACACCTACTTTTACTATTAGTCCTATTGGTTAAATTTTGTAATAAGACAATAAAGTTGAATATGGAGAGATAATAGAGACAAAAAATATAAAAGAAAGAACACAAAGGGTTATTGTGGTTCAGCCAACATTGGTTTATGTACACACACAAAGCCCTATGGGCTACATCTTTCATTCACTCATTTGATCATCTTGATTACATGGTACACCATATATATTGTGAGAGATACAATCAAATCCCTTTAGTTAACGAATTGAGACAAATCAAAGATACAAAAAATCATGATAAGCACAAATTATGAGATCTCTATATATCCGGATATCTTTACCAATATGATCTTATTTTCAACACGCCCTCTCAAGTTAGAACATGGAACGGTTGAAGTGAAGTGTCCAACTTAACCTCGAAGATAGGATGATCATCACAGACAATTAAAATGAAGTTGTCAAAAAACGACAACAATTGTAATGACTTCTCAATGACAACTCGGGAGAACATAAGGAATCAACATCTTGCAGCAAAGAAATGTGCATGGAATCAATCATGATGACAGCAAGTGAAACCAACCAAGACAAAGAAAGCTACAAGGCCGAAGCAACGACAAATCCCCACAACCAAAAAGGCTGGCAGAACGGCATATCACAACAAATGCTGCAGAACACACCAATAGCCTAAAACACAAAAAAGAACCAAATATGTGCTTACCACATTATCATAGGGACCCTAAAAGGACATAAAAGTAGTTGGACCACCTTAGAGAGCTCACCAGACAACACCCAGACCAAGAGTGGTCTGGTCAGTGATAGAAGAGGCTTCAGTAGGGGCTGGTAGGCCCTAAGGGTGCTGACAAATGGAGAAGTAGGGATGTATGAGACGCAGTCCTAAGGGTGTCAATAGATGACTCTAATACCACATTAAATTTTGTAGTAAGGCAATAACGTTGAATATGTAGTGAAAATAGAGACAGAAAAGATAAAAGAAACAACACAAAGGGCTAATGTGGCTAATTTGGCCTATACACACACAAAGCCCTATGGGCTACATCTTTCATTCACTCAACTTGATTCTCTTGATTACAACGTACACTATATATATATATATATATATATAAAGTAGAGGATACAATCAAATCCTTTCAATTAAGGGATTGAGATAAATCAAAGATACAAAAATTCATGATAAGCACAAATCATGAGATCACCATGTATTATGATAAATTTAACAATATAATCTTATCTTCGGCACTACACCTCTAATTCACTAGTAGCAAAAATTAAAGACTCAAATAATGATTGAAGATTTCTCTTTAGGAAATTACCTTGCATCTACCATTCTATGAATGCTAAACCCCTTCTTCTTCTATGATATTGGCATACAATGGAAAACCAAGGGAAAAAATAAGAAAATAATTTCTAGATTGCTAAATTGGATTTTTTTTAATACCTAAGTGGCAAGTGCCCAATGTTCAGATCACATGACTACACTAGTCTAGCATATGCCATGTCCTAGCATTTCAAAATAATATTGGTACCTTGATCAAAAGAATTGCTAAATTATGGCTCATTACAGTTTCTTTGAGGCTCTTGTAGAAATTTTACAACTCTAATTGCAAGTATGGTCATCATGGGGGCTTTTAGTACAAATAAATTATTGTTCAACCAAAATAGAAAGGAAGAGAAACAGCGGCATACAAATAGGAATATACGATCCACATTACTAAATGTTAAAGGGGTGGAAAAAATAGATAGCATGTTCTTCAACAAGTATTTTAGAAAATTTAGGAATAAATGGTAAGCGCCTTGGTTGTTTGATGCTCAAGCACTAAAATCTTCACTAAACGATACTAGTATAAATGAGGTGGTATAATTTAGAATAAATTTTAGTTGCTTCTCAACAAAATCATGTGTCATAACTCCGCAAGAAAATATTTATCTCTAAGAATGAAGGAGATAATCCCTTATTTTAAAAATAAAAAAATAATAATACCCAAATTATATTGAAAGGCTAAAGCCATGGTTATGCAGTTGCATTGAAAGACAACATGCAAAATGATTCAAACGGTTTCCATCATTTTTTCTTGGGAAAACCAATTCAAGAGAATGTACAACGTTTCATTTCCTGTTTTCGTTTTCATTTTTTCTGAAACCTGGAAACACAAACCTATTTTGGTATATTATTTTCATTTTTTAAAAAAAAAATGGATTTGTCTCCAAAATTTTCAAATTTTTTGAAAAAATAAAAAATGTGTGTTCACTTGTTTTCAAAATAAGTTTTCACTTTTCTTCTCTCCCCCACCACCTTCAGCTACCACCACCCACTATCGATCAGCTGGGCCGGCAACCTCCAGCCACCTTTAAAGTGATTCAGTGATGACCAGATAACTAAGAAGCATGGATACTTTAAAGAAGGTAACGTGTCGTGTCTGACACCGACATGACATGATACAAAACTCATCAAACACTTGGGCATACATGAAGCACTTTACAAGTTTGAATAGAATGACTTGGCCAATGATAGAACAAAAATAATGCAAATTTATCCATATTTTTCTCCTTTAGACTTTAAAAATTGTATTATATTTGACTTAAATATTCAAATATATGATATATAATAATTATTTATCCTTATTTATGACATATAATAAATATATAAACTTATATATTTTGCACGTGTTCCCTACGTGTCATGTCTTATATTATTTAAGAACTTACGTGTTAGTATGTTCGCGTCGTGTCGTGTCGTGTCATATGTCTCTACTTCTTAGCCGGCCAGTCACACCGGACCTCTAGCAACCTTTTTGGCGGCCCTTCAGCCACCCTGTAAACTTCAACAACCTTTTGACAGCAATCTGGTCCCTCGTGACCTACAGCGACCATCTCCAACCACCTCCCACCGATGATCATCACACCCGTCCACCCTCCACGATTGGCCACTACCTCGGGCAACTCACCACACAGGTTTCTCTATTTTTATTTTTATTTGTTTTCAAAATATTTTTCTATACCAAACAAGTTTTTTGTTATATGAAAATAGGAAACTCACAACGTTAACAAATGAGTCGTAAATGACAAAAGTTGCCACAGGGAAAAACCTATGCTATTATGGTACGTACACGGGAAGATCGGTCTTCTTGAACTTACCTATTCTGATAAACATAGCGATTCAAGAAGCAAATTGGGAAAAAGAATGAAAGATATTTGGCCAGCTAACAGAGACCCCGGTTGGTCTCTAGAGTTTTTGGATAAATCCAATGGAAGTTTGAAAACTTGTTCTCTGCATTTTCATTATTTTCTACTATAATAAATAAAGTCCCATACAACCAATAAACTAACAAATAGGAAACAACTATCCAAAAGATAGGAAACACTAACCTAATAAATAGGAAACAACTAATCAACAAGTAGGAAATATATCCCAACTAACCAGCAACAATACTACCACCAATTCAAAATTAAAAAATAAAAACATTATCAACAAATAAAATAACAACGTAATACTCATTCCCCCTAAAATTAGCCCTTGTCCTCAAGGGCAAGATTATGATATTTTGGCCCATAGACTATGTTATTGCAGGTTCACTACTCTTCCCCCATCTTCGACATCCATAACAATGTCCCTGTCAACTTCCTCACAACATGCTTCTATCACAAAATGTTTTTTGCAATGATGACAGGGTGCAAACTTTTCATTACATTTACAGCATAACCCCTTTTTCACCTTGTAATTCTTTCGTTGGCAATCTTTTCACAGGAAATAATGGACGTTGTGAAATGTTGCCTTCGTCATTGAATGCCATTGCTCAATGTTGGGATAAGTCCCTTTGTTCATATAATCAGGCCAAACCGATAGAAGCCATCAAAGATGTTGATCTTCTGGCTAGAACATTTGATACTTAACAAAACAACTCACTTGTTGAACTTGGGGTAAATTGCGTGCTTTAGCAAGTAGCTTTTCAAATTGAGATTGATAATCTTTGATTGAACCTTGCTGTTGCAATTTTGTGAGTTCGCCAAATGGGTCATAGTACTGTGTGAACCCAAACCGAGGCTGCAACCCACCTTCGAATTCTGGCCACGAAACCTCATTTTCATTTTGATATAGATGTTGATACCACAACTGGGCATCTCCTTCTAAATGGAAAGACGCAAGGCCCACCTTATCTGCTTTTGGCGTCGCTTGAAACCTGAAAAATTGCTCCGCTCGACAAATCCAACTTGTGGGACCTTCTCTTCCATCAAAACGAAGGAAGTCTAGTTTAACAAGCTTGGGGGCAATGGTATTGTGAGTGGGAATTTTTGGACCTACTACACACTCACCCTCTTCTATATATAGGAATCATGAATCATTGTAATGAATATATACATCAATCAATAATACAATCAATATCTATACAATTCTCTATTTCTCTTTATACATTAAATTTCTACAACTTGCTTCATATCATTGGTCATCGAATGAACAAACTGTTCAAGATGATTCACCCTCTTGTCCATTTTTTTGGCTCTGATACCACTTTGGTACGTACTGAGCAAGATCAGTCTTCTTGGACTTACCTATGCTGATAAACATAGTGATTCAAGAAGCAAATTGGGAAAAAGAATGAAAGATGTTTGGCCGGTTAACTGAGACACCAGTTAATCTCTGGAGTTTCTGGATAAATCTAGTAGAAGTTTGGAAACTTGTTCTCTGCATTTTAATTATTTTATGCTCTAATAACTAGTCCCATACAACCAATAAACTAAGAAATAGGAAACACTAACCTCATAAATGGGAAACAAGTGACTAAAATGTAGAAAATATATCCAAATTAATCAGCAATAGTACTACAGCTAATTCAAACTTGAAAAATAAAAACAATATCAACAAATAAAATAACAACGTGACATGTTGATGCAACCCCAGTTATTATTAATGCTAAGTTTAGATCTTGGATTTGTCGAGGGAAATGGAAATGGAAATGGAAACAGAAAGGAAACAACCAAACCAAAATAAACTGTTCATTTCTTCTCATTTTTCTAAGCTAACCAACAAAAAAAAGAAAAGAAGCTTCATAAAAGTTCACTATGAAGAAGATAATATTTACCCCTGCAAGAAAATATTTACCTCTCTAAGACATAGTTTACTATGAAGAAGATAATCCCTTGTTTTTCTTAAAGAAAATTAAAATTTAATGCCCTTGAAAGCCTAGATCCATGATTATGCAGTTCCATACAAAATGAAGCAAATGGTTTCCATAATTTTTTCTTAGGAAAACCAATTCAAAAGGATGTATACCATTAAATTACAAAAGTTGCCACAGGGAAAAACCTATGTTATTGATGCAACCCAAATTAATTTATTTATGCTAAGGTTAGATCTTGGCTTTGTCGAGGGAAATGAAAGGAAATTAAATTACTTGTACATAACCAAACCAAAAAATTTGGTTCCAGTTTTCAAAAAATAGTTTTCAGAAAATTCTACTTTTTTATTTTTCGTATTTGAATGTTTTCAATGAATTTTTTTTAATATTTTAAGCAATTTTTTTTAATTTTTGGACACACCTAACATAAATACACTTAAAAAGTATAATATTTGTGAAAAAAAATCTTTAAAAAATACACTAAATACCAAAAAATACAAAAGAAATACGAAAATTTAGTACATTTTCGTATTTTTGTGTATTTATTAAATTTTTAAAATATTTTCTCACAAATATTTTACTATTTAGATACATCTAAGTAAAGTGCATCTAAAAAAGTAAAAAAATTACTTAAAATTTAAAAAATATTCACTAAAAATAAAAAAAACACGAAAAACAAAAAACAAAAAACTCAGTTTTCAAAAAATTGAATTCAAAAAACTAAAACCAAACACACCGATTAATAATTTTTTTTTTTTTTCCGACTTATACCCTATTCATTGTCTTCACATTTCTCTAAGCTAACCAAAAAAAAACCTTTTTAAGTTTTGTTTAGGTCATTTTCTTTTCCATTTCCTTTTCCTTTCACTCCACAAATTCAAGATCCAAACATAAAATTTGATGAGATACCAATCATAGCACAAAATTTATGTCCTAAAAGGAATTCTATCAAAACATATTTTGAAAATTCATTAGGGTTATTTAGGAGTTTCTTGCTCAACCAAGTATAGAAAATGCTCACTGTAAATGGTGTCGTGCAACCAAAAATATAAAGGAAGAGAAACAGGTGATGGCATACAAATTCTGACAGGAAGATGTGATCCACATTCTTAGTAATTGAAGGCAGCAAAGATACATAAATAGCAAGTGCTTGCACAAGTATTTTCCAGAAAAATCAGGAATAAATGGTAAGCGCATCAACTGTTAGATGCACAAGCACTAAAATCTCCACTAAATAGCACCAGTATATACAAGGTTGTCCAATGTAGAATAAAACTGAGGTGCCTAAAAACTTAGCTACTTTTATTTAATTTTCTTTTCTTATATTTTTCCTTTCCCTACACAAATTCAACAACCACGAGACATCAATACTTCCATCAAACATATACAAATATTAAATTACAAAAAATTAGGAGTTTCTTGTTTTGATGGCACATGAAGACCAATATGTCACAAATTCATGTGATAAATATAATCAATCTAAACAATGGCTCATTTCTAATAAAAATCAAACACAACATTATTCACTTAAATCCATTCAATACAATTCCAAAGTATGCAAAAGCTGGCACTTTTAGGCATTACATATCATGCACAATCCAACAACATTGTTAATTACATTTCTACAAAGATCATACTCAAATATCAATACTTGAAAGCCAACAACATATCATGCACTATCCAACAATATTCTTAGTTACATTTCTACAAAGATGTTATTGTAAGATCATACTCAAAATCAATACCTGAAAGCCATCTCTGTTGAGCATTTTAATGGCAACTACAATTGGGGAATCACCATTTCCATCAGCAGGCTTGATTGTGCCTTTAAACACACTTCCAAATCCACCTTCCCCAATCTTAAGCATCCTATTGAAACCATTAGTTGCCTGTCTGAGCTCCGAAAATGAGAAGGCTCGCAAGTTCTGAGCCTTCTCTTCATACAATTCTGGGATACTACGTGGTGAAGCTGCCGAACAAGAGGACTTAGTCACCCTCTGAGCTGCCGATAAATTGGATTTGCTCTCTTCTTTTAATATCGGCGCTGATCTTTGGGCCCTACTTTTAGTCCTATCCTTGAAGTAATAGAAACAATTCATTTTTATTTTTTTTTTTAATTTTCAGAATAGATTAGGAACTTTTAAGACCAACTGTGAACTGTCATTCAATCCCTGCCAGCAAAGAACAACAAGAAGTAGTAATTAGCATTTAAGATTAAGTGTGGACTCATTCAATTCTATATCGAGAGAGGGAGAAGGAACTTTACGCAACTAAACGAAAACCCAGTTACAAAACAGAGAAATTGTTAAGAAAAACAAAGATGGAAATAAAAGGAAAGATAAATTGGGAAAACCGATGAGCGAACGGAAAGGAAAGTGAAAGAATAAAGATAAAAATGGCTCAGAAAATGGACAAGTCAAAGCTCTAACAGCAAACAGGGTGAGAAGAAAAGATTGAACAAGCAAAGAAGATAAGCCAAACAATGAAAACCCAAAAGCGAATCGGGTCGATTTTGGGTAGAAAAGTGAGAGACAGACTGATATTGAAATACCCAGATAGAAATTCGAAGGAAAATGTGAGAATAAAAGAGGGAAAACGCACAAAGAAATGGAAAATCAAAGGATGAGAGACCCAGATAGAAAGAGAAAACGAAAATGATTAAAAATCAAGTAAAACCCAGATGAGAAAAACAAGAAAACACGAGAACAGACATAAATGAAACGAGAATTCAATGAAAAACAGAAAGAAAATGAAGATAGAACAATGGGGAGGTGAGTTTTCCATTTCGGTTACCTTGTAGTTGTGACTTTGTTCATCTTCCTGAATTGTTCAACAGCTTAGACTGGTGAGTTTCAACGCTGTTGAGAGGAACGAACACGAGTCCTCGCATTGACAAAAATGAATTGAAGCTTTTGTCTCCCTTCTCTCTCTATCTTCTTCCTGTCTGAGAAAGGAAATGAACCATGTGCGTGTCTGGCTGTCCCAGGATCTCCAGATGTACCCGAAAAGGTTTGTGTAGTGTACCCTACAGTCGTCGGGTCCCACTCTCTCCATAGGGCCACCTTTGTAATTTCCATACTGTAGTATGTCTATGCGCTATTTTGAGAAGTTAGCTTTTAGTCAATTTTTTTTTATTTGTAATAAAAGTTAAAAGTTAATTTTTTTATATTTTTTTTATTTGGGTGATTGGTTTTAGTTACGGATGAAATTACAATTTTATTCCTCATGAGTTAAAATTATTACATGAGTAAAATTATAAATATTTTAAATTAATAGAGGTAGTTTGGTCATTAATTGTAATTTGACATTATAAACAAATATTAATAAAAAAAGTCAACAATAACTTTTTATTAATTTTTCAAATCATTTATCTAAAAAAATCAAAAACTTAATTAAAAGCTAAAAAAATTACTCTTTATCATCTTTTCAAAATAGGCCTATATATGTCATCTTCTTCTACTTTTCTCTCTCTCTACATCTATCTTACCTTTCCATTGACTGTAAAAATGTGGTAGCCAACTACGACCCAGGCTTGCCAAACTAACTCATCTAAAGTCAAATTTCGACCATATTACGTGCACAGGATTAAAATACAAAATATATATTAAAATTTTATTTTTTATAATTAAAATTGTAAGAGTTGTAGAAATTTTTAAAAATTTAAGTCTTGAAATAAAATAAAATTTTAATTTTATCAATTTAAATTTTAATTGTTTGATTTGTTTTAATTTAAATTATTTATCTATTTTTGTTAAGTAAATATATATAAAAATATATTTTAACTATTAAACTCAATGTAAGTGTATAGAAAATATCTAAAATATTGATTTCTAAGGCCTCGTTTGAGAACAGGCTAATTTAATAATTTTTTGGCTATTTGGCTAAAATATGAGTTAAAAAAATTAGTATGTTTGGAATGACTTTTTGACTTTTTACGAAAAGATGAAAAAGAGAATCTTTGACTTTTTGGTATGGATTGTTGACTTTTTGGCTAATTTAGTAATTTTTTGACTTTTTGACTAAAAATGAAGGTTCCCAAACGAGGCCTAAGTATAATGGCTAAAATATATTTTTTCATACATTTACTTAAGCTTCATTTGGCTTAGATTTTTGGCTAAAAAAGTATAAAAAGACAAAATTGGCTATATTCAATAAGATAAAATGTCACATCTAAATTATAATCATTATACTTTTTCTCTTACAAAAGTCAAAAAAATCAAAAAAACTAAATGAGACTAACAAAGTCAGACTAAAGAAGTCCCAACACAAAAAAACAACTTAAAAAAGTCAATGTCAAACGAAGACTTAATGAAAATAAACATACTGAGATAGATTGAAAACAAATAATAAAAATTTAAGATTTAAATTTAAAAAATTTAAATTTTATTTTATTATAAGATTTTTTTTTGTAATTTTTCCCTTAAAATTTATTTTAAATATTACTCACATTACATTCAAGATGAATTTCAACCATAATATATTTTTTTGTATATATTGGCCCCGTTTGGTAGAGTTATGGGAAAGTGATTATAGATTATAAATTAACAGATTATAGCTTATAATTATGAACATAAGATATTAACCTGTTTGGTGCAGCTGTGGAATTATGGATTTGACTTGCTTATCCAAAAAGGGGATTATGGATTTAAGCAGCAGAGTAGTGTTTTGTTGATAAGTTATAAAATAGCTTTTTACTGTATAATTATCATTTTTGCCCTTATATGATCAAAAATGATAATTTTGTCATTTTTTTTTCAATTTTAATTTTAAAAAATTATTTTATTAATAAAATTTAATATAATTAGTATTAATTAGTGTCAACTAATATAAAAATTGATACATTTGACAAAAATGTAATGGAAGTATTATTGTAACAATTTTTTTCCATTATAAAATTAATTAGTATCAATTAATACTAAAATTATTAATTAGTATCAATTAATATTAATAATCAACAATTGTTATCAATTAGTATCAATTAATAATTAATTCATTATAAAAATACATAATATTAATTTATTAATAATTAACACCAATTAATATTGATTTTCTAATTAATATTGATTTTTTTTTCTTCAAAAATATACATTTTTTTTCTTTTTTAATTAATATTAATATTGATTTTTATTTTATTTTTCTTCAATTTTTTTCTAGGGTTTCAACCCCCACCGGCAAACAACTGTCGGTGCTAGGGTTTCAATGCAAATTGCAATTGGCATATATAACCAACCGTCGATGTAGGTGCGGGAGGCAGCGGAGAGAGAGCGAACGGCAGAGATGATTTCCAGTTTCAGATCGCGATGGGAAGAAAGAGGAAGAGAGAGAGAGAGAGAGAGAGAGAGAGAGATAAACCCTACCTGTCGACGACATTGATTCGTGATGAAGAGAGAGGGGGAGGGAGGGAGTGAGAGCTCTGGTTCGTGTGTGTGTGTGTGAGTGAGAGAGAGAGAGAGAGACAGAGAGACAGAGTTAAGAACAGTGTTGAGAGCTATAAATCGTCCTCGCCGAAAATTGCCTTCGCTGGAAATCTCCATTGCTGGAAATCGCCTCTGTCTCTCCCTCTCGAGTGAACAGTACTTGAGAACAAATCTTATATATGTGAGTTTTTGGTAATAGTTAAAATATCTTAGGGGCATTTAAGTCATTACAAATAGGGCTAAACAGCTTCCCACATAATCTATTTTGAAAAGCACCTAGAAACCAACTTAAGAAATTATGGCTGAAATAGCTCAAGTTAAGCTATAATCCATCCCTCATAATTTTTACCAAACACTCTAAAATAATTTATTTTAAGCTATAAGTGGCTTTAAGCTGCAAATGAGTTTTACCAAATAGGCCCATTATGTGTCCTAATTGTGTGTACTATATTTAAATTGTGATTCTGCTCCCTTAATGTGAAAACTATCGCAAAATTGAACACAAAATATATTAAATTGATAAAATTTTACAAACTTTATTGATGAAACTTTGTTAACTATGAGATTGCTTTCCTCTTGCAATAGCAACGAGCTTTTGAAAAGTTGGTAAAAAATAATTTTTTTTTTGCTTTTTTTTACTAAAAGATAGTTTTTTTAATAAAAAAAAGTTGACTTTTTTTATAACTTTTTTGTATAAAAAAATTAAAAAGTGAAAAAATTAATTTTTTAACAAATTCCCAAATTGTCCCTTAATAAATAACATAATATTTCATAAACTTGGTTGTGCGTTCTATCTTTTATCTTCTAGAAGTCGTGAATTTTCATCTTATGACGTTTCAAGTGTACCTATATAATGAAATTGTTCTCCTGTCTATCCTTATATTGTGAGTCGACCTGGGTCTGATTGTCTTTCTGATTTACATTCGCACACAAAATGAATCAGCTTGTTTGATTTTGAACCTCAAAATTTACCTTAGAAAATTAAGACCGTGTTTGATTAGCTTCTCCAAACATATTTCTACCCCTTGTTTTGAGTGTCTTGTTTGTTTAGAGTTTTCAAAAATTAATTTCACACCTACTTTTGAAACGGAACAATGCAAACTTTTTTTTTTTAACAATTGGCTCATGTTATTTTTTATATTTTAAATAAAAAAAATTCAGAATTTTTAAAAATTTTTATGAGTTTTGAATAAAATTTTGAGTTGTGTGTTTGGTTATGAGTGGTAAGTTTTTTGTATCAAATATCATATGTTACATCAAAAATTTCAAACTCAATTTAAAACTCTTTTTAAAATTCTTTTCAAAACTCCTAACCAAACAAATTTTTCACATTCAAATCATAATTCTAAAACTCACAAACTCAAAATAAAACTCTATTCTCAAATCATAATTCCAAAATTCTTCCAAACACCACCTAAATTTCTTTATTTTTTGTATTTTTTTGTTTTTACTGAATTTTTTTAATATTTTAATTTTTAAATACACCTAACATAAAAACACTTAAAAAGTATAATATTTGTGAAAAAAAATCTTTAAAAAATTCACTAAATATCAAAAATATTAAAAAATACAAAAATTCAATATATTTTTCGTATTCTCATGTATTTATTGATTTTTTTATAAATATTTTATTTTTTAAATACATTTAAATAAAGTGCATCTAAAAAAGTAAAAAAAAATATTTAAAATTTTAAAAATATTCACCAAAAATAAAAATATACGAAAAATAAAAAAAAATTAATTTTCAAAAATTAAATTTAAAAAAATTAAAACCAAACATACTAATGTGATTTTGGTTGAGCCTTTTTTCCCCTTGTTAATAAAAAGGGCATGGGACGTTGGTGGAATCCGTGAATAAATACGAGGGTAAATTATATTAACTGTCCTCTACTTTCGTATTCGTGTCATTTTAGCTCTTATCTTTTCAATTGTATTATATTTGATTTTAAATTTTAAATTTTATTCTAACTAAGATAATTGAATATATCATTACTCAATTTCAAGGACAAAGTCATTAATTTGACAAAATATAAACTAATTTAACAAAAATAAATGTCAACAAAATATTTTTGAATTTTAAAAAATTATTTCTATCCACTAAAGATAAAATTATGTATTGATAAATTTTTAGGCATTTATTTTTTGTTACCAATTTAATTTTTATTATGTGTTTGGATGATGATAATGTAATGAGTGGTTGTTAGGCTTCTAATGTGTAATAGATATATTTAATATATGAAATGTTTTTAATTTTGGATTTTTTGATTAATTGAATTGGTTTAATATTGATATCAAAGTGTCGCCATATTTGACTTTTGAAAAAATAGAAACTAGTTTAATAAAAATAAAAATAACCATCCATTATATGAGCATAATCCAAATACATAATAAAAATTAATTTAGTAAAATAAAAAAATAAAAAATATATGTAAATGATTTATCAATTTTACATTTTATCTTTGGTGGTTAAAAATAATTTTAAAAATTCAAAAATATTTTTTTGACATTTCTTTTTATCAAATTAAGTTATATTTTATCAAATTGACAACCTTACTTTTTGA